CTCAGTTGGACGAGAGCACCATTCCCCAGCCAGTCACCCCTTTCATGGACTCATTAGTGAGTCCTCACATCACCCGACCATTCACACCGTTACATGAAAGGCAAAAGTGGCAGGCATGGGCAGGGAGAAGGCATGAGGGGGGGCCAATTTGCTGCACCACGGGCCCCTGGGTTGTACTTGCTCCCTGGCTAAAAGACCCCCAGTTTTGACTGTGGTATCTCTTGTGCCCCCCTATATATTGTTCATAGAGTTAACCACTGAGCACATAACACACAAATAGAAGGGTTTTCTTAATTCTGAGTGCACAAGTGTAAATACATTTTAAAATACCTTCACACAATGTGGTGTGTGTTACGACCTCAGACCAAAATGATTGTATACAATCACTTAAAATGAATGGATCCCTTATAAGCAGATAAAATAAAGTATATTTACATATACTAAGCTGGAGTTATCCTGGGTAGTAAATGCACCTGGTATAGTGACTATAGTTTTAGATTTTGACTATAATATTACTTCACTTGAACCTACCACTGCAGATGGAACTTAAAAACATTACAATGTTCTTTTATATTCATAATTTAGGAAAATGTAGGCAGCAAGGGATGTGCAGGAGAAAGGGGCCATTTGTATTATTTTACATTCAGAATATAATATACATTTGGAATTCTTCAAACCTGACCTACTGTATATATAAATATACTATATATATATATATACAGTTTCTTTTAAACTTGAGGTTTTGCTTGGCAGGTGCATGCCAATGTGTTTTCTTTGATGATTAATGGTAATAAGCCTGAGCCTTGATGGCTACAAAAGTTCCACTGACGAAAGAAATAATGAAATGTTTAATTACACACAGCCCTGGGATGCACATCAGAGAACAGCAGTAATTCTGTGATCTAATTTCTCATAAGGAATAACATTAGGACTGGCTATGGAAAGCTGACTCTGTTTGGAAGAGTTCCTGATCTGCTAAGTGGATTTCTCATTTTAACAAAGTAACACAAAATCAGGCTCAAGGAGAAAAAAAGCTCTTTCATTCTATTAAATCTTCTTGTATTCTCATTTCCTGTTCTCCTTGAGAAGTTAGCTACATGAAGAAATCTTAGAGAGGTCTAATTAGATGCCAATCACCACCTGCATATTTAAAGTTGACATGTCTTTCAATATAAGGACCCTATGCATGATGCTTCCAGTTATATTGTACAATGTTGTGTTAAGTATGTTTAAATTCGACAATGTCAGTTTCCCCATGCACGGCAAATTGAATGTGTCTTGGCAAAGGAACTCCTGTCAGTTTTGTTATTACTGTCAGTGTCAGGAGCGTAACTAGAAATCACAGGGCCCCATTGCAAAATTTTGTATGGGGCCCTGTGATTTCTAGTTATGCCCACCTGATAACCCAAACAGCCCACCTAAGGGTGACCCTGCAGAACCCACCATAGACTCTCTATGGTAGCCTCTGCAGGGTCTCAGGCGGGCGGTCAAGCCCTCTTACCTGTCAGCCCTGATCCTCTGTCCGCCTCCTTCTCCTCCACGATCGACTCCTCCGTCACTGGGCCCCGCCTCCTCGATCGCCGGGTCCCGCCCC